TTTCAGGGGTGGGTTTACCCCCACCCCTGCCCCAACTCCCCAGCCCCTCCCCCACGTGCCTGGGGCAGGGCTCCCTGGCAGGGCGCCTGGTGTGCATGCCCACAGGCTGGCAGGGCGCCCAGCGTGCGTGCCCAGGCCCCAGCCCTCGCCCAGGCAGGCGGACGCGGGGGGTGGGGGGTGCATTCGCTGCTGGTTGCACAAGCCTGCTGCTGGAAGAAGGGACTTTGGAGCCCGGCAGAGATCCTGCCTCTGTAACACCGCTCCCGAGCCCCCTGCCGGCACCCAGACAGCCGCGTCCCCTCCCCCACCAGGCACGCAGATCCCCGACCCACCGCAGCCCCCGCCCCCCCCCCCTGCCGCGGGGCGAGGCCATACTCACCCCCCCACGGGAAAGACTCGGGCCAGCTGAGCGGGCCTGCAGAGACCGTGCATCCGACTGGCTTCGAAAGACAGAGCGAGGATGGGAGAGAAAGAGGAGAGAAACACCATGAGGCTGCAAAGCCGCCGGCCGGGCCGCGCCGGGGAGGGCCCCGCACACCTAACATGGGCACAGCCGGGCAGAGCCCCCCCCCCCCCTGGCGGCAGGAGCGCGGTGTCGGATCGGATCGCAGTCTGCTGCAGTGCAGAGGCACCGAGACGGAGACACACACAAGCAGACGGAGCAGCCGGGAGCGCCCGAACCCCCACCCCCGCCCGAGCCATGTGGCCTCCCCGCGCTGCCCCGACCTGTCGGCGAAACTCCACGCATGAGTCACTCCTGCCGGAGAGCAAAGGAGAGGAGCAGCCTCGGGCCTGGTGCTCCCTGCTCCCAAGCAGCAAGGCCGGACATCCCCCGCCTGGCCTAGACACTGCCCCTGCAACGGACAGACCCCCGCGGGGCTGCCCCCAAACACCACGGCCCCTGGGGGAGCTGGAGCAGGGCAGAGGGGCTGGCGAGAGATTTCCCCTTGCGGAAAAGGCAGCAAACGCCCCTGGGGTGGAAAAGGGGGCACCCCCTGGGAGCCCCTGCTCACACTGGTCTGCACCAAGCACTGGGCTGGCGGGACGGGGAGCCTGCGCCAGGGCAGCACCTGGGCTGAAACGATCCAAGAGGGCATCTGCTCCCCGGGGCAGGACCCCAGTCGCTTTCCCGAGCCCGTCTACTGGGGTCCCCGCGCAGCGCCTGGCACCTGGGT